TGAGGTTTCATATATCTTGACGATAAGTGTGTTGTTAATGAAAATTATTATCATCTTCAGCGTGTAGCCGAGTTTGGTTCTCCCACTGAGAAATGATGAAATACTACGCATTGCCCCAATTTTGTACCTAAAATTTTTAGATATATGGGTTACTGCAAAATCTGTGAAGTACTAGTCTCTAAGCAGTTGCGTGGCTAATGCATGCAGAAAAGAAAAAGGCAGGAAGTGAAAAAGAATAGGAGGGAGAAGAAAAGAAAGGAAGGGAAGAAAAGAGATAGACAAAAAAGATGTAGGAAAAGAGAGGGGAAGAGAGGATGAGAAACTTTTGCTGTCTAAATTCGAAGTACAGAAGCCTCAATCAATAAACTATCATCATAGTGAAAAAGTGGTCAGAAGACCAGGTGTCAGTTAATATGTATGTCGTCCGTTTGAATAACCGGACTGATGAAAACCCGAAGTTGGATCCCCTTGAGTTTCAGGTACGAAATCGCACTGCCAGCCAGCTCCAAACTATGAAATACTCAATGCGCTGATTCGCAGTCTATTCTAATTACATAATAGTACTTTACTGTACTCCATTTCAGGTAAATGCTTCAAATGAGTATCGGGTTGATACTCTCTAGGAATGTATTAGTAACTATTGATGACCTCCAAGTTATTTAGTAGGACTCGTTACAGTCTAATGTTGCTCATTTTTCACGGCATTAGAACTGGTTTAAACAACTAAAATTCAATTCATCGGTCACAGGTTGTTTTCCCGCAGAACACCTTTGATCGATAGGGAGGTGAAATTTTGTACCTGAACATCATTTCAATTTGAAGATGCTCAAGCGCCAATTTGCCACTTGTTGGCAAGACATGACCGGATCGGCTTCCCCGGCTAATAACGTCATACCTGAAGCACTCAACGTTGTCTGCTTTTACTTGCATATGACGAAACTCAAACTAGCAGTTAGCTGGTTTGCACAAATGGGCTACTTTCTATGCAAACGAATGCGGTGTCACGACAGGTTTTGAGTGTCACGCAACGCGAAAACAGGTCACAGGCTTGTCGACGTGGTCGCTCCCATTTGTCGCTAAGATGACTTTTGATCGTCCAGTTTTTGAGACGTCACAGACGCAGTTTGCCGCTCTTAAAGCGATTGCGTATGAAAATAGAACTGGACGAAAACCTCGCCTCAAGTCATGTGCTGATTGGCGCCAATGCTAAATTTAGCACAGAAATCGGTGTGTGGGAATGATCATATAAAAATTTTTGCTAATCTCCATCTTGCAAGCCATAGAAAATTAACTTAACTGCAAGAGAAATGATTTGGTCGGTATGTCAGACATTAGCTACCACTTTGGAAAATTGGTAGCAGCTACGAAGTTTAGCGACAACTTATTATAACCTCGACCCTGGCTTGTAATATTTATATTATTATGACCTCTCACCTACATGCCGCACTAGGTTCACATATTCCCTGAATGAAATAGAAAGAGTATGTTGAAAATAATATCATTCTCGAGAGAACCGATGCACGTTGTATTGTCTCGAAACTTAACTCGTTGATCAGCTTTTCATCTGTCATTCTTATCGACGAGAAACACTAACTCAGGTTGTGAAAAATACTACCGCATGTATTTCACATTCAACAAGAGAAACATGGCATTTTACTATAACACTTTCTTTCATCAGTGATTAACTATGAACGTTAGCTGAGAACAAGGAATGAGTTGATGTCAACTATCATCTCATTCTTTGAAGATCAGTCGCTGGCCAGCAATTTCCAAATAACGAGCTGTTTTGCCATGAAAAAATACGATCTCTTGCCCATCCAAGTTTGGCTTTTAACCTTTGGTAACAGTGGGCAAGACAGACTCTTGTAGACTCACATACTCATACGTCAAGCAACGAAGAATTATGCATGATCCTAATTAAGAAAGATCTCAGTAAATTCAGCCTGAGGGCTTATGGTAACTGAGAACCGGAAATGAAATGATAAAGCAAAGAGTCGTAGAATGTGTTCTCTGTCCATAGCGCTAGAGTACCAACTCAAGTTTGTCATAACCCAAAACAAATTCTAATGAAAACAATGTTTTCTTCAGGTTTTTATTTCAGTAAACAAATCCGATGTAAAGCAGATACTCTGAACGTAAACCGCAGAACACATTGGATGCTACTGTCTGTATTTAGCGCCAAAGAGAATGCGTTGCAGCGCCATGTCACGTATCTTCAGAACAGGGGATGCTGTTTAAATTGGTGCAAAAAAGGACGTTGATATCCACAGCTCCTTGAAGAGTTTAACTGTTAACTGAACATGCCATGACATCCAGTACTGTCAAATGTTTAATCTGAAGCTGAAGTCATTGTTGTGTTTCATCTAGAAGTAGTACTGCAATTTCTAAAAACTCATATTCCTTTCGTGCCAGCACGTTTTGAATCTAACTCGTCTATGCGAGTTGCGGTGAGCGGCTAAACCAAGGCACCTAGTACATTTCAGCAATTGGAAGAGTCGAACTTCCAGTTAGACATATTTACCGTGACGCCAAAGCACGCCGCACATCATCACCACGCGTATAAAAATGCGGCCTCACAAGTGTGTAGAGAAGCCTGTTTCGTAAGTGCGTTTTCGTGAGTTTAAGCCGTTAATTTCGTGTCAACGGATCGATTTCTCAACGAGTCATTACGCAACTCATCAGATGACTCTGAAAATACTCACCAACTGCGCTGTGTAACGGTCAGAAAATGCACAACGACCGTAAAACCGAACAACCTCGCAGCATTGACAGACTCTGTACTCCTATTGATTTTTCAATATGCACTGAGTCAAACTATAGGCATAAAATATGTCGATCGCTCTACGGTTTTGTGTCCGATAGATCGAATGCTGACAATGCCCAAAAGATTTTCGATGATGATACATGGCATTCCAAGGATGTGCCTAAATCGTAGTGAAACAT